AAAGATTTCACTCCAAGAAAATCACAAAATGAATCTCAATCTGGTTAATAGACAAATCAAAAGAAATATGAACAGATTGTCTCCCTGTACAGAAAAACACAGGGTAAATGACCATGACCAACAAATACATGGCCTGCCTAGATATAAAATCACTCTACACCAATGTCCCAATCGAAGAATGCCTCTATCCCCTAAACAAAAGCATTTAACATAATAAAGGATCAAGCTCTCTCTCTACCAACAGCTAAAATAAGAAAACTCTGCTCTCTAATCACCAATCAATGCTATTTCACATTTAATAATAATTGTTACAAACAAAAACTTGGATTCCCAATAGGATCGCCTCTCAGTGGAGTGATGGCATGTATCTTCGTAAAATTTCTCGTATCCGTTCGTTTCCAAAATATTTTACCCATAAAATCAACATACTTCCGTTTTTTTTCAGTTTATGGAGCTTGCTTTATCGCCTGTATTGTCACAAAAAATACATAGAAGAAACCTCACGAAATCTAATTAAAACACGATATGAACATGAATTATATGAACACGAAAGGGACATTTTATAAAATAATACATAAAATGCATTGGTCGCCGACTGTAACGAGACTAACCACAATTTTGACATAAAAAGACTTCTCTAAGGAAAGGAGAAAATAATACACTACGATGTAAATGTCTCGCAAGGTCATCTACAGTAAATTTGTGTCCTGACTCTTACAACATTTCATACTTACAAAAATAATGAAAAGAATGAGAAAAAACTGTATTCGTCTAGATAAAAAAAATTCTAAAATTCCCAACAACCCTCTGTTGTGCGCATGTGTAGTTCTACCTCCATAACAAATTTAGTCCAATGAAGTCATGAGGACGACATGCATCATAAGTAAACTTTTTACACTTTCTCATACAATTTCCCCAATATTGTTATTGATATATAAAGACATATCGTTATCTCATTCACACACACACACACACACATATATATATGTATGTATATGTATGAATAATAATAATAATAATAATAATAATAATAATAATCTTATAAATATAAGTATGTATACTCGTCTGGAAAAAACCTTAGGTGTTTTGGCTTGTAAACTAATACCAAAGGAAAAATAAGGAATAAAATAAGAAATAACTAAGTACATGTAATTCAGACGAAAACAATCGACCAGAATCCAAGCTCAGAGTCCAAAGAAACAAAACTCCGACACGAGTAAAATAAAAATAACTAAGCAAAGTGCTCAATACACTAAGAAGAGCAAATTTAACCCTGAACCTAAAGAGCCAGGCAAAACTACCCAAGGTTTCATCTAAAGGGATCGTCAGCGTACCCTGACGATCCGCGTAGGTGAAACGTGGTAGGTTTGCCTGGCTCTTTAGGTTCATAGTTATATATATATATATATATATATATATATATATATATATATATATATATATATATATGCATATTTTCAAGAAATGACATTTTCAACAACATTGAATTGAAATGTTAACAAATAACATCTTCAGTATGATTTCCATGACTTGTGATGCAAAGGTTGATGCACTTTGCAAGATTCAGGCGAACTCGATGCAATAAATTCTACATTGCCGTCAATTTTAGCACATTCACTCGTTATGCGATCAATCAAGGGTGTTGCATCCACAAAGAAAAAGTAAATTCTTTCTTCTTTCGACAAAATCATGTTTAATCTGTATAGATATATATATATATATATATATATATATTTAATAAGATCTCCGGTGTGAGTGACCAGACTTTCGCCTGTAAAGTTGCATTAAAGACGACAGAAAAGTTACAGCTTTTTATTTAATTTTTTTTGTGTTCATATAAGTGTTTTCTAAACATAAACTGAATAAAAACCGTTCAAATGTTCTGTATATCAGAGCGTTTTCAGCTATATTTTTTAGCCATTATCAAGCATGTATTTCTGTGTATGCGTGTGTGTGTGTGTTTGTGTGTTTGTATATACAGGTGTTTATGGTGTGTCAAGAGAATAAGAGAAAGGCCAACATAATAAAATAGAAATTCGATAGGCAAATATAGTTGTGCAAGATTTTACATATAATCGAATTCACTACTATACAAGTTCATGTTGTGCGAAGCGTAAAATATCTACACTTGGTTGGATTGAAAATCACAATTTGGAGAGCTGACTAACCAAAAGCACTGGCTGGAATAAATATATCTATATCGATTATCTACCTGTAGATAGATAGATAGATAGATAGATAGATAGATAGATAGATAGATAGATAGATAGATACGAACAAGCTTAGATAGATAGATAGATAGATAGATAGATAGATAGATAGATAGATAGATAGATAGATAGATAGTCACTATGATAGAAATAGATCTGCAATGAAAGAAAGATGGGAAAGCGTAAGAGTGGGTGGCTTAGAAAAATCTAACAGATGGTGCTGAGCAAGGCGGGAGAGCAACAAGAATGATTGCCGTGTTTGAGGAACTGACGCTGAGAAATCGGGGTCAAAATCAAAGAGTTTAAACAACAACAACAACAAAAAAAAAAATGGCACAAAGTTGAGGATGACTAACCAAGAAGGATCGCGACTGAGAAATGATATTCAAAGAAAACCGAATAAACCTGGGCACTCCCCACCCTCCGCCTCTATCGTTGGGTGGTAAGCATCTGCCCTACTCATAATGTAACATTCATTTAAAGTTACATCTGCTCTGACATGTGAAACACGTAAATTCCAGTCTTTTAAATAAGCCTGTGGTTGTTGTCGTTATGGTGCCTTTCCTCGCTTCAATCATCGTCTGATTTTCTACTAATTCTATTTATCCTTTCCTCCCCGCCTTTACACTTCCATCTCTCTTTTTCATTTCTACTCCACCCGTTGTTTCTTTCCCTTTTCCGATTTTTTCTTTCTTTTCTTTCAATTTATTTACATTTCTTTCCTCTTTCTCCAGACGTCGACTCTTTCCTCCGCAGATTCATTGTTCTTTCTTTGTATTTTTTCCAACATCTTGTTTTGTTTTTGTTTTAACTTTTTTATTCTCTCTTTCTCACTCTTTCGCTCTTTCTATCTCGCTCGCTCTTTATCTATCTATCTATCTATCTATCTATCTATCTATCTATCTATCTATCTATCTATCTTAGTCTGTTCATATCTATCTATCTATCTATCTATCTATCTATCTATCTATCTATCTATCTATCTATTTATCTATCTATCTATCTATCTATTATTAAAGTTCGGTGTTCAGGGACAGATAATGAACCACGATGTTGTATGGTAATTTTCAAGACAGAAAAGATCTTCTGTTTTGGAAGAAAAATGGCGCCAATCATTCTTCCTAATCTTTGTAGTTCCATGTGTCAGAATAAAATAAATTTAGCAAATACGTATGAATACATACATACATACACACACACACACACACACACACACACACACACATATATATATATATATATATATATACTTTCTTACACACAGACACACAACACACACGCACACACACATATTTATATATTCACAAAAATAAAATTGCTTTTATTTATTTGTAAGGAATGGTCAATATTAGAGACAGAGAGTTGGATTCACCACTTGAATACCAGTTTCACCTTTCACGAATATAGATCTACATTGTGTGGACATAGGAATGGAAGGGTGAAACTCACGGTCACTAGTGTTGATTCCCTATGTCCCCTCGTCCCCTTCTCTCTCTATTTATTTATTTGTGTATATATATATATATATATATATATATATATATATATATATATATATATATATATATATATATATATATATATATATATATATATACACACATATATATATATACATATATATATAGATATAGCTATATGTAGAGAGAGAGATAGAGATAGTTATAGATATTCATATATATATACAAATACATATATTTATATACAAATATATATATTCATATGTATATATATATATATATATATATATATATATATATACATACAGAGAGAGAGAGAGAGAGAGAGAGAGAGACGCACATATATATGTGCGTGTGCGTGTGCATACTTATAAATCCGCACAAATAACAATATTTTCTTTTTCTTTATTCAAAACTCTTTTATTTTCTAACGAATACGTTTCTGACATTCCAAGATGAATGAAAATTGTTTGAATGAATGAAATTTTTATGAATGAGAGATATCAGATCGAGGCTCAGGCACGTTCCAAATCACCTGTTTCTGCTTACTACGCCTACTACAGTTGCATCTCACTACTGCATGTTCGTCATTAGATAAAGATTTGTGTCTTGGATGTAGTCATGTAGGAGAGGAAATATTCGCCATAATTCTCTAAGGGAAAGGGAACTGTTGAATGGGATAGGGATTCGATAGAATAAAACTGATTTAAAATATGATGTTCTCATTATCAATTCTTTCGGCATTTGCATTCGGAATGAACGTGTTTACAAGCTGAGCAACATTCAATGCGTCTATTGATTTTCCTTTCGCTGTTCAGTTCTTGAATGCGACTTGTTGGGCATTCTGATGACGTGTTCCATTTGAGCTGTAGCAGTCAGTGTTCGAATCTAGGTTAGTTCAGACTTCCAGTGTTGAACACTGCCGTGAGGGGCAAATGAATCGAAATGATTCTTCAAGGAAAATCGTCTCGCGCCAGTGACTCAGCCGACAAAATTATATTTTTAGTTCCTACTTACTAGAGCGGAGGTATCGATTTTTCTTTCAAAGCGCTTCTGTAAATGCGGGGGCTGGGGGTATGGGGTGCGGTGGAGGGAAATGAAATAAGCACCTTTTCCACGCTCTTTAGATGGGTTTACTTAAAAAAGAAAACAAAGCAAGGTGGGGTTTTTACCAGATGAAACACACTCACATATCGATTTTCTTTGTAGAAGAAGCGGCCGACTTAGATTGGCTATCGTCGAGTTACGTGGCTATCGTGGATTTTAATAATAAATAAATAAATAACAGAAAGTCTCATATTTTACCGTTTCCTCACTAATCAGTTTAATTTCAAATCCGAGTTGCAGGTAAAAAGATATCATGTCGTAATGGAGAAGAGAGGGAGAGAGAAAGAAAGAAGCTAGAAGATATATGGAGAGAAGAGTGAGGGAAAGAGAAGAAAAAAGGGCGAGTGAAGAAGTGAGTAGGAAGAGAGAGGGAAAGAGAGATGGGTAGAAAGAGAGAAGACGAGAGAGAAGGAGAATAAGAGAGCAGAAACTGAGAGTGAAAGAGAGATGAGAGAGAGAGAGGGAGAGAAAAGAATAGTGAGGGAGAAGAAGAGTAGAGGAAGAGAGAGGGAGAGTGAAGGGAAGAATGACAGAAAAGAATGGAGGAAAAGAGAGGAAGAGGGAGATGGTGAGAGAGAAGATGGGTGTGAAAGAGAAGAAAAGCGGGGGAAGAGAGAGAGAGAGAGGGGAAAGAGAGATGGGTAGAGAGAGGGATATAGAAGAGGAGAGTAAGAGAAAAAAGAGAGAAGGAACAGAGAGGGAAATAGAGACGGAGACAGAAGAAGAGTGGAGTAAGAGAGAGAGAGAGAGAAGAGGAGAGTGAGAGAGAAGAGAAGAGGAAGTGAGAAGGGGCAGAGAGGAATAGAGGGAGAAAAAGAATAACAGTAAGCAGGAGAAAAAAGAGAAAGAGAGAAAAGAGAAGGAGAATGATAATGATTTGGATATTGCAAAAATTATTACAATTTCTTTTCTTAAATATCTCATTAGACGGAAACATTTCGTTAGGTTGAGTCTAAACGCCAAAGTAGTTGTTTCACTAAATTATACTCCTTTATCTTTGTAAGTTCGTATTTTGCCGTAAATCTTGCTGTAGAAATTCTTCTTTTTTTCTTATTCACCTTTCTACAAAATTTCGCCTTTCTCTTTTACCTGCTTTTATACAGTTACGTTTTCTTTCACTTCATTATTTTTCGAGATAAACCACTTTTTCCTCATCATCCTTTTTCCCTTCCATCTATCCTAATAATTTTAACCTTTTTGCTCTCCAATATTCTATATCAATTTGACGTTTTGGTTTTTCCCTTTTTTATATAATTATGCCTTATTCCTTTCCACCTTTCTATATAAATTGGCCTTTTTCTTCATTAACTTCCTATATAATTCCGGATTTCTTTTCATCTTTCTCTATAAATTTACCTTTTTTTTCCTTTTCATCATTCTATATAAATTCACCTTTTTTTCTTTCCCTCTTTCTATATAAATTCGCCTTTTTTCTTTTTCCTCTTTCTATATAAATTCGTCTGTTTTCTTTTTCTTCTTTCTATATAAATTCACCTTTTTTTCCTTTTCCTCTTTCTATATAAATTCGCCTTTTTTCTTTTTCTTCTTTCTATATAAATTCACCTTTATCCTGTTCATAATTCTATAGGAATTTCCTTACAGACTTTTTGCATTATTTTGCCTTTTTACTTTGCAACTTTCTATATTCGTTTTCTTTTTCACCTTTATATATAAATCCTTTTTGGCTTTTTACACCAATTTTCAATTTTCTTTTCAGATCTCAACATAAATTCAGTTTTTCCCTCTTCATTTTTCTTCATAAATTCAACTTTTTCAATTTTCTCTTTTTTCCATTTTATCATTCTGTATAAATTCAATGTTTTAAATTCATCTTTATGTATACATTCGCTTAAAATCCTTTTTAGCTTTTTTATATGAATTTGCCTTTTTCATTTCAGACATTCTACATAATTCCATCTAAAATTTTGCCTTTCTGTAAAATGCCATATTCTTTTTAGCTTTCTATATAATTTTAGGTTTTACCTTTCATTCTTTCCGCATAATTTCGCCTTTTTTTCCTTTTAAACTTTCTATGTAATTTCTCTTTTTCCTTTCTATCCCTCCATATAAAATCGATTTTTTTTCATTTTATCATTCTATAAAATTTTGCCTTTTTTTTTCGTTCTTTCTATAGAATTTCGCTTTTTTTTTATTTTTCTCATTTCCCCTTTCATTTTTCTACATAATTTCATTTTTTATTTTTCTATATAATTTCGCCTTTTTCTCTTTTTTATTTTTCCTCTTTCCATGCAGTTTCGCCCTTTTCCTTTTCCGCTTTCTATATATTGATGAATTTTTCGCCTTTTTCTTCTAATCTTTCTTATATAATTTCGCTTTTTTCCTTTTCCTATTTCACTACAATTTCGCCTTTTCCCTCTTTCTCTTTCTATATAATTCTGAATGTTTTCCTTTCCATCTTTCTGTATAATTTTGCCTTTTTCCTATTTCTATACAATTACACCTTTTTTCCTTTTCATCTTTCTATACAATTCTGAGCTTTTCCTCTTTCTATGTAATTTCGAATTTTTTCCTGTCTTTCTATACAATTTCGCCTTCCACTTTTTCATCTTTCTATAGAATTGCATGCCTCTTCATCCTATTAATACAGTTTTCTTCTCCTCCTTTCTGTATAATGTCGCCTTTCCTCTTCCCACTTTTTCGATATAAGTCAATGTTTTTCGTCTTTATCTTGCAATATAAGTTCGCCAATTTTCTTTTACCTTTCTAAATAATTTTGTCTTTTTCCGATTCATCTCTCGATATGAACTCGCCTTTTCGTATCTAACTTTTTTGTATATTTCGCCTTTTTACCATCTTTCTATATAAATTCGCCTTTTAACTTTTCATCTTTCCATATATTTTTGCATTTTTTCCTTTATTATGTATGGATTCATTTGTAACCGTACAACCCCACCCCGGGTCGTCCAAGACTTCCAGTACCGCGGCTGGTCGCTGAAGTGACTGCTTCAATGCAGAGCTAACCTTATCCCACGTTGTGATTTAACTTTGATCATAAGGCAGCCAAGATCGAATTGTCTCAGGTACCTTTGTTTTGGGCTGGCCCAAGCACAGCGAAGACGTACGGGAAAAAATATCACTCGAATAAATTGAACAAACGTAGATACTGTATTTTTTTTTTATATCAGTCCTCTGTACAATAATTGGTTAATCAAAGTTTGCATGCAATTAATTATCAGGCCAACCCGGGTCTAAATCAGAAGTGATATTATTGTTGCTGACCTGGCAAAATCTGGTTTGCTCATGTTGGTAACGTTCGGCACAAGGCTGAAATCGGAGGCTTTCCTCGGCAGATAATCACGTGGGCCTCTCTTCTGTCTATGGTCTCGTTGTTTCCGTCTCTTCTGCATATCTTCTCTCTTCTAAGACTCGTCTCTATTCTGCGACTCGTCTCTCTTTTCTTTTCTGCGACTCGTCTCACTTTTCTCTTGTGCAACTCGTCTCTCTTTTCTCTTCTACGAATCGTCTATATTCTCTCTTCTGCGACTCGTCTCTCTTCTCTCTTCTGCGACTCCTCTTCCCTCTTTTGCGACTCGTCTCTCTTTCATTTCTGCGACACGTCTTCCTTTTTTCTTCTACGAATCGTTTCTCTTCTCTCTACTGCGACTCGTCTCTCTCTCTTCTTTTCTGCGACTCGTCTCTCTTTTCTCTTCTACGAATCGTCTCTCTTCTCTCTTCTGCAATTCGTCTCTCTTCTCTCTTCTACGAATCGTCTCTCTTTTCTTTTCTACAAATCGTCTCCTTTCTTCTGCGACTCGTCTCTCTTCTGTCTAATTCGCTTCGCGCATTCGTATTTATGGACATTCACCCAAATTACCGAAGTAAGAGAATTTTGACAATTCTTGGGAATTCACTTCTCCCACTCTCTCATATTATTACCTCTCACTAAATCTCCTCAGTGAACGTGCGTGGCTTATCCACTCCCCCTCCTGGTATTTTAACTCAACTTTCGACCAGGGGAATCAACACCAAATTCGTTGTTTACGAAAAATGCAATTTTCGCTTTACAGCTTGCATTTTCAGCTGTGTGTCAATCAACATTGCTCCGAAGTCTGGGTCACTTTTCCATTGTTCAAACTGCTCGACATACAATTCAACTTGTTTATGTGTGAATTGAATCCTCGATTCTTCCCACGGGTTTTTGGTATAAGCGGTAACAATAAATATCATACATTACTTATATCTTCAGAATTATAGACAGAAACTATTGAATGTATCTAAACAAATTTTCACACTGAAATTTTGTCTATACCTATAGTATTGAGAGACAGATTTTGGGGAGGAATTTTTGTATACCTTCCGTAAAAGTGCCAAGGGAATTCCTGCAAACTCAGCCGAAATATCCTTCAGGTCGTCGTTTGATGTGCTGTGAGTGATACATGCATGGGTGAATCCGAAATCAGAGTGATCCACGGCCCTGTGGTGTGTCCCAGAGTTGTTTAGGTTTGAAGGGAAGGTCCATTGTCTTCCTCTGACCTTTGAAACGACCTCCTAGGCAAATATCTTCAAGTTCTTATTTTTGAATTATGTGACCCAAGACTCTTCTCTGTCGGCGCTCATTGGTCGGGAGCAGAATACGATTTTTGCCGAACTCTCGCTTAAAGAACTGAGTCGTACATTTCGTGTGCAGTCCAAGGAATTTTTAACACTCGCTGATAGAACCATATTTCTGCGGCTTAGAGTGGACATTTGGTTTTGATGTTTAAGATCCATACCTCGGATCAATACATTAAAATTGACCAGACGTAAGTTTTTAAGAGTCGATATTTCAAACTTAACAAAAGACTTCTGTCAGTGAAAATCTATCGAAGACGATTGAATCCATCTTTTGCTACGCAAATTCGGCGGCAGATTTCTCTCTCACAGCGACCATGTGCTGTTACCATGGAGCTTAGATAATTGAAGCTGTCCACTTGGTCCTTCATTAAGTTAAATGAAGACTCACTTTGGAGTCAATCATTTCAGGACACAGTGTCTACGTGCCGTTTTTACATCAGTTCAAAATACAAGACCACAAATATATATTGAATATTTTAGAAACATTTTAGTGGTTCACCGTAATACATCTGACCACAATTTTGACTGAAACTGCGTTAATCTCCTAATTCTCAGAAGTAAATTTAAGACCAGAGCCATTTCACCAATCATCGCAAAGACAATAATAGCACACCGCGGTATACGAGATAGCAGAGAAAACAAAGATCTACTTGGAATCGGTGGATCTAATAACTAACAGAAACGGCTCTAATATGTATATATATGTGTGTGTCTGCGTGTGCGTGTGTGTGTGTGTGTTTCGTTAAAGATGACTGACAAAGTACTACGATTAAGCTTTTTATTCAATTTTTCTTGTGTTCATACAAGTGTTTTCTTTGATGAACAAAAAGTCTATAAAAACAGTCCAAAAACATACTAGTAGCAAATACAAGCATAATAACCTCATCCCCATCTAAAAAAAAGATTAAAAGTAATGGAAACCTTAATAATAAAAAAGAAAAGGTCAACACTCAATAACATTAACTATGAACACGGCCACAATGTGCTGAGCGTGTTTGGAAAATAAAACATTTCTATAACTCTAGATACATATATAACACAAGCCATACATTCAGTTAAAAAGTAAAAATAAAATCATCCTTGGTAATGGCTAAAAGTATAAACGAAAGTGCTCGGACTTTAGGACAATTTGACACACTTTGTGTCCAGAGAAGTGAACACTTGTACGAACACATGAAAAATTAAATAAAAAGCTTAATCGCCTTAATTTGTCAGTCGTCTTTAACGAAACATGTTTAAAAAGAGGGATTGCTGCCTAAAATAAAATAATATATATATATATATATATATATATATATATATATATATATATATATTGAAAAAATTAAAATCTTCAGACACACTGGGTTGTAGATTAATATTCTTCCGTTTTTATTATTATTATTTCATTTAGATTCCTCGATTAGTTTCGGCCAAAATGGCCATCATCAGAGAAGAAATATTTCTGCTTGCTGGTAGCAGTGAACTACAGAAATGAATGTCTTGATATATATATATATATATATATATATATATATATATATATATATATATATATATATATATAGGAACATTTTATGAATACTTGTTTAATACATTAAACAAACAGGCAGACAGACAGACACTTTGGCGTCTTGACATCTGATGTAATAAGGTAATTTCATTTATGCCCCCCTCCACCTGCTTTTATCCTTAGAGATCTTAATGTGATTTTCCTTACATACCGTTTTTTTTTCATTCATTTTAACCTGAAGAAGTCAACAGGAGAAGACGCTCTCGGCGAAATGCCTCATTTATGGCTTTTCTACCTTTTCTCATCCTTTTCACTTTGGTTTCGCATATAATTCTACATCCTGCTAACACGCAATAACCGATGTGCAAAAACCATGGAAGAATTAAATCGATTCTAAGCAAACCTCATTTTACCAAAACCAAATGAATTTTGTAGCAAATTTCATTTTCCTCGGATGTTAAATTCTTGGGACGTTAATTTTCTTTTAATTTTCAATTTAAAACCCCAACACGATAAAAACAAAGCTGCCATGCATTTGGCCGCACAACGTTTGTGCCAGAAATGAAAAGATTACAGTTTTAATCGGATATCTTAATTATTTCTACGCCCACAATATTCGGCTGTTTTTTTAAATAGTAACACTTATTCCTGGTGAAAGAAAATAAGACATTTGTGTAATGCATACCAAATTAGAGTTGGAATAAAGAATTATTTCTTTTGTTTATGAAACGAATGAAAAAGAAAGAATGAATGAATTAGATAAATGGAAGGCAAAAGATGAAAAAAGTGAAAACCAGAAGGGTAGAAAAAAATAACATTGAGTTGAAAGATAGAAAGAAAGAAATTAAAAGCACAGAGTGAGAGAGAGAGAGAGAGAGAGAGGTGAAAAGAAGAAAATATAAGACGAAAAAAGTAGAAACAAAAAGAAAAACTTTAAGTTGAAAGAAATAAAGAATGATAAATACAAGAAGAGATAAAAGGAGGAAAAATTCGATTAAAAAGAGAAAAAGGAAAGTTGAAAGAAAGAAAGAATGAGAGTAAAGGAAGGAAAAATATGATGAAAAAAAGAGGAGAAAAACAGAAAGAAAAATAATGACTTGAAAGAAAGAAAGAAAGAAAGAAAGAAAGAAAATGACGAAATAAATAAAGAAAGAAAGCAAGAAAAAGAAGAAAAACCTAGAGTGGGAAGAAAAGAAGGAAAAATAAGGTGAAAAAAAGGAAAGAAAGAAAGAAAGAACGAACGAACGAAAGAAAGAAAAAAAGAAAGAAAGAAAGAAAGAAAGAACGAACGAACGAAAGAACGAAAGAAAGAAAGAAAGAAAGAAAGAAAGAAAGAAAGAAAGCCTCTATGATAAGTAACAAGGCAAAAGTAATTTTTTTATTAGCCTCAAGGTTCAATCTCAACAGTCACACGCCAATTATCCTCTCTGGTGCCAAAAGCCAACACCATAAAGTATAAGCCATTATTTTCGGTGCTACCCTCGTGTATTTTGTATAGTGTTTATCTCATTAATTAAATACTTGTTCATACAACTCTTTCCTTCGTCTATGATGGGGCATCAAACCCTTTATTCATACACAAAAAGACCTTCAATACTGTTCTTCCTACAAAATGGTTATGTTAACTTACTATCCTCAGATTCATAAATGATCCTACTGACATGAGGAAAATGACTGTTTTATTTAATGGCAGGAAGTTTTGACAGTGTTAAACTAAACATGATACTGACCAGAGACAATCTAATAAGAAAATGAATAGAGAAGAACTGGTCGTCAGACAGATGAAGAAAAAAAGTTCATTACAGTTCCTGAAAGACAAGGATAATTGTATTTTCCCTAAATTGTCTATGGAATTCGAAACTGCCTGACAGAATTTAAATCTGTAAAAATCGCCTTTTCTTTATTAGCAGAATCAATTCATTGCTCATGAATTCATGAACTACAGTGTTCCACCATGAAATTTCTATCGCCTTATGCACCACCATGAAATTTCCCTCGCCTTATGCTCCACCATGACTTTAATCTCGTTTTAGCACCACCAGGAAATTGTTCTCGCTTTATGCTTTATCGTAAAATTTCACTCGCCTTATGCTCCACCGTGAAATCTCTTCCGCATTATACTGCAATATAAAATTTCCTCCGTCTTTTGCTTTATCGTGAAATTTCTATCACGTAATGTCTCATCGAAAAATTTCTCTCGCTTTATGTTTCACTCTGCAATTTCTCTCGCCTCATACCGGGAGCTTGTATTTTTAGACTGACTGCAGACATCTTTTCTTGTATATTTATTTTTCTATAGTTCCTCCTGTATATTCTTTGTGGCAATATTTAAGGGTGACAGCAAATTTCTACTTCAAGTTTTAGATTATTATTATTTTGTTTTGTATTGGTTTAGAAGTTGCAACGAATTTTATGTTAAGTTTAGAGAAATTCTTTTCAATGATTGTTGTGATAGAGTCGGTGGGTGAAACAATATATTTTGATTCGTTGCATTTGTCCGAATCGTCCACTTTTGTACTTTAAGATATTTTACGAACCTTTTATCTCATGTTGAATATGAAATAATGAGGGTATTGGCAGTGCTTAAAAGTATTTTCAATCTATTCCTCCTCTTCATATAAAATATTGAAGATTATAAATTCGAAGTGCTCTTAAATAGAATCCAATGATTATTCCGGATTTTTTTTCTTCTTTTTCTTTTGTGGAAAGAATAGAAATTATTTAGATCATTTTTATTACTTGCTTTGCGATGAACCCTTAGTCTTAGGCTATTGTTAGTGCAGTGTAACATGATATCTAGGAAAAAATAAAGTATTCTTTGTAAATAAAACATTGCGTTGTAAGTGAATTCTATTGTATGTTTGATTTTGTTTAGGTTAGTTAAAGTAGTTTTGTGGAGATATAGCAATGGAGCCTCATCAGTCTAACAAAAATATGAAGATGGTTTAGGAAAAAAAGTTTGGAAAGGAACAAATTCAAGAAATTCTAAGAAGATGCACGCTAAAATGCCACTTTAGAGGCGGACCCATTCGTAATCCAATTTTTTTTAAATAAAAATTATTTCTAAAGATGTAAATAGCATTTACTAATGATGAGTCGACCGATTTTTATAATTTTAGCTATTAATAAAGTGAGTTTTAATTTTTACTCTGATTCGGGCTATAAAAGCCCAATTTCGTCAAAATTTCAATTTGAGCCGAAACTCCGACTTTGGCTGAAATTATAATGCAGGTCGAAAACTGAATTCTTCAAATCAAAAACACTGTGGAACTTAAAGTGCGTTTAATTCTTCAAATCACAAACTTCAAAATCTCACGTCACGAAACCTCCGATTTTAACTCTGATTCCTTGGCATTTTGAAGAATTAAAATTGATTTCCTCAATTCACAAAATTTTGGAGATATTTTAAATTGAATTTAAAACAATTAGTTTCTAAATTCACAAAGTTTTATGTTGCTTTAAACTCAATATAAATTAAAAACTTTTAAAATCTCTAATTTTTTCAGTTATTTTAAAATTTGAATTTTTAAATGTTCCTTCCGCATCTGGACATAAATCGCAATGCTGAATGTTCAAGCACCAGATGAAGGGCAGATATAAAATTCGGGGTCCTCCTGATTCCAAAAAGGTATAATATAACAAAGTGGGGCCCGAGTTAGAGGGGGTTTCAGACACACAGACAGACAGAATTTGCCGTTTATTTAGATTATGTTAGATGCTTCTTTTTTTTTTTTTTTTAAATCGGTATCACCCCATGCAAAACAGTAAAGCCACTAAAAGACAAGGGGTTACTAGGTGTGGAAGAATTAGGAATAGCGATATTAATAATGAGCGGGAAGAGAAAAA